CTGGCTAGCGGGAGTTGGGGATATATGCAACGGCACCTTCACGGGAACTGGCGAGGCTAACGCTACACCCAAATCCTACGATGACAAGCAAAGCATAGAAATGAGAAGGAACACGAAAGTGATCACGCATCGTAACGTTCAGGGCAGGCCCAACACCCGACGAAGTGCGCTACGCCGGCATTGCGACTTCTGGGACGCCGATCAGGACGGAGTGATCTACCCATGGGACATATTCATTGGCTTCCGTAAACTCGGCTTCAACATCGCGTTATGTCTGTGGGCAGCGGTTACCATGGCTGTGTGCTCATCTTACAGCACCCAGAGTTCTTTCCTGCCGCACCCGCTCTTTGCCATCTACCTTGATAATGTCAACCGCAACAGACATGGAAGCACCACTGGTGCGTACGACTTAGATGCCGAGCTGGATACGCGACGCTTCGATGCGATATTCGAGAAATATGCGGGGGGCAAGGACTATCTGACCGGGCGAGATCTATACGACGTTTGGGCAGGCCAATGTTGCGCGAATGATTTCTTCGGATGGTTTGCGGGTGCCTTAGAATGTGAGTTGCGGCTCATCACCTCACGGACTGAGCATACGATACTGACATTTAACAAGGGATAGCCATGTACATCCTGCTATGGCCACAGGACGGAAGGATGCGCAAGGCCGATATCCGAGGAGTATATGATGGTACCATTTTCTGGAGAATTGCTGAAACCCGCTCCCAGCGTTCACGGCCATGAGATTGCGGAAGCCCATGATTGGCTCCACTGGGGCCATACACGACCCAGAAAATTTAATTTACCAACATCACTTTGGTACGACCACATTAGAGTTTGGATGTGACAAACTTAAGTAGCTAAACGAAACACACATTGACTCCTACTGTAATTCAGCGTCTGCCTGAATGTGTCCTCTTCATTAAATTGTTGTCGCAAGAATCAAACTTACGCTACGTCCCTTGATCTCCAAACTGGTAGTCTCGAAATTGCCACTTCAGCCCATGGATATATACCCTCTGGAATCAGGATCGCCGATACACAAGTTCCCGCCTCGAGAAATTTCCGCCGTCACAATGCGCCACCCCGAGCCCTGCCCATCCTCGGATCCCATCACCCCGATCAGTCTTGTCAAGACCCAAAAGCTTGCGCGAGACCGATATCGAGCCTTGAGCTGGAGTCTTTTCCGAGTACCTTCTTCTGACAGTTTTATACGCTTGGATACCCGCGATGATACGCCCGCACACGCCTTGCCGGACGAGAACGATGGATTCACTGTCGTGCGCCAGTATCTATACGATGTGCTCACCCACACAGGATGGGGTATAGGTTATGAGTGCCCTGCAGCGATAAGAGCAACGGTGGAAGGCTGGTATGGGCACGGAGGGTATTTCAAGGCGCAATTGGCAGAGAGAAATGGATTGTTGGATCTTTGTCCCATGAAAGGAAAAGATGGTGAAGGTGACGAAGTATACTTCGAGGACCAACTGAGAGACAAGATCAGGCAATGTGTCAGATACGAGAGCAACATGCTATTGTATCGTGAGGATGAGCTGGACGACGCGATGTCTGAAGCAGATACATGCGTGGGCGATAATACTCCTGATATCAGTATACAGGAACGGGGTTACCAGGATTCCGATGGAAGCGAAAGCATATACTCGGTACTCCGACCGTCGATCGATCTCAACGAGGATGCAATGACCATTGCTGCCCATGAAGATCAAGATGACGGCCCTGAACATTCAGCACCTCATGTACACCGCAGCGACAGCGCAAGGTTTTCGGGAACAGTCGGATCAAAGACACGGATCAGCAAAGGACTCGTATCATCCGACCCCGAGCCCAGAGTAAACGCGCCTTCCGAGATCACGCATGAACTCACTTTTCAGGTTCCTACGCCAAAAGTAGAGCAATCAAAGAAGAGGAAAGAATGGTCGCATGAAAGTTCAAGAGCCATGGATGAGCTGGTTGCAGGACGCAAGTCATCCATCAGCCATGCAGTGTGCAGCCAAGCCAACGCAACAACACCAGACTCGAAGTCTCAACACCAACCGAAAATCGAGCTACCTACTGCATACAAACATGCAAGATGTGGCGCCGTTATACCCGCCGAGAAGCCCGTGCCTATCGCACGGCAGAGGAACCACAGAAAAAGCACAAAAGCCATCAAACGCCGGACACAGATGACCCACGACACAGCTTGCTCCGTTAGCTCGGTACGCTACGAGACACTGCCACAAAGTCAACTACCCGCAATAAAGGGTCAGCATCTCCTTGTCGAAGCTACGGCGGTGGCGAAGAGAGCGGTCGCTCTGAATCTCTGTGTTGATGAGGCAAAGTGCTTGAACCATCACGAGCGCAATAAACAGAGTCTCATGTCTAGGATGCTTGCGAAAGTGGGTGGAAAGAGAGGGTGAGCGTGTGGTTTCAGAGGGAAGAGGCAGAATACAGCGTAACACAATACCATCTCGTTTGTCACAAGTATGAGTTTAAAGCCAGCGGTAACAGGAGTATCTGGGAATCTAACGAGTGGCACGATTGATGTTCATTCAATTCATTTCGTGATCGTTTTGTGGCCTCGACTATGACCCTTGCTATATACATGTCTTTTGGTGTAGACGATTAGACTTCATGTCCGCAAGTCATGAGGTGCATTTCTCCTTCCGCAGGCAGCGTCCATCTCGGCTCAACACCGATGATACCGCGCTCAGTGATCATGCTAGCGTTTACTGGGCTCTTGGGGATGATCTGCTCACCCCTGGTAGCAAGGATGGAAAGTACGTGTGCAGCAGCCTATGTTTGTTAGCAGATGTTCTCACTATGTAACCTGGTTTCTTGGTACTTACCTTGGCGTTGATGAAAAGTGTCTCCGGGTTGGGGTTGTCAATGGTGTCGCAAGCTTGGTGGTAGCAAGGATCTTGCTCGACACCAGTTCCAGTGTGCAGACCTCCAACGGGCTTTCCAATGTTCATGAAAGATTGGTAGTCACTTCCACCGGTGAAGCGTGCGGCTGTCACGTTTACGCCCTCCTTCTGGAAATGCTCGACGAAGAGCTTCTCAATGGCTGCCGATCCCGGCGCACCCGTGAGGTTGAAAGTGCTGCCATCGCCATCGAAGACACCAAAGTAACCGCGGGAAACCATGTCGAAGTTGAGGTAAGTGAGGATGTTGTTGGCTTCTGTGGCGTTCAAGTTCTGCGTGTAGTACTTGGATCCAAGAAGGCCGTTCTCCTCCGCGCCCCACCATGCGAATCGGACCTTGTTCTTGACGTTGAATCTCCTGAGCGCCTTAGCAATCTCGAGGATGAGTGTGCTGCCTGAGCCGTCGTCGTTGATACCAGCGCCGGCTTGTACACTGTCAAGATGCGCACCGAGCATAATGACGTTAGTTGGGTCACCGTCTTTGGTCTCGGTGAAGACGTTCTGTGTGATGCGTGTTTCCACGGTTTGGGTTTGCTGGAAGTACGCTTCGACAGATTCGCCGGCCTGGAGGCGTGCGACGAGGGGTTCAGCGTCGGCGAGGTTGATGTAGCCGGTTGACACGTATTCGGGGTTAGGGTTGGACAACGTGCCACCGGTAACATTCGCGGTGTCGCTTGCGTAGATGATTACTGCAGAGGCACCAGCGGCAGCGGCAGGCTTCATGCGCCCAGCGAGGGTAGTACCATCAGGGCAGGCCCCTCTTTGCACCAAAACGATCTTGCCCTCAACATCAAGGTTGTCATAGGCTTCGTTTGTGCAACCTTCAGGTCCAGAAGCACCCAGAACAAGCGGAAGCGTCAATCCTTCCGGAGTGGTCGATGGCGAGTAGGACAATCCAATGACACGGTAAGAGCTGTTGCTCACACTGAATTCAATTGACTCAATCTTGTTGAAAAGAGCCGGGAAATCCTGCGTCCATGTCTTGAAGTGTGTGTTCTGGGTTTTGGCGAGCATGTAGTCAACAGATGCAGCGTAGCCCGGAAGACCGAAAGCACGGTTGCCGCCATTTGCTTTTGCGATAGAGTCAAAAGCTTTGAGGTTACCCATCAACCTAGAAAAGTCAGTGAGTCGTCGAAGCAACGAATAGACGTTCGTACTTCTCAGTCTTGATCTCAGCCTGGATTGGTCCAGATGATACCATAGGCCGGGGTCGCACAGCAGCGAACGCTTGCGCAGCGCCCGCAAGGACGATAGCACTGGAAACCTTCATATTGTCTCTTTAATCGGCTAGCTTCTCCCGGATCCAGATGTGACGAGCGTGCGAGTAACGTCGCCCATGTTTAGGTGGCGGCGCCGAACTCATATACGCATGTTTCCCGCCACTGGACGTTCCGGCTTCCTGGGTAAATGCAGCTTGTTTGAGCGCGGAACACCGTACCTGGCCCACTCTTATCATCGTCTTGCAGGTGCTGTGTCCGGAAAAGAAGGTCACAAGAGAGTAGATCGGTCTTTGCCAAGTTGCCAAGGGGCAGACATTGATACCTGCCCAAAGGGCGATAGACTGGCTTGGCGGGAAGGTTACCATCGTCACGAATCCAGTCTCTTCTATCGCAAGGTGACCAGAGAAGTCGATATATCCGAACGGTCTCTGGTTGACCGATTGAAAGAGATGCAAGCTTCACCGATGAGTACGTTCCGTGTCATGGCTCCTGGGTATTGGTGGCGTTGGCGTGTCCGAGCGGCGACCTGAATATGAATTCGGGACTATGATCCATGATAACAGAAAACTGCGACTGGAATGCTTTTGGTGAGTTCATGCGGCTGAGTTGGATCCCACAGTTGCGAAGAATGTGATGTGTCTTATCTTGACTTGAGTGAGGCGACGCCAGCATATATAGCTCGCGAAGGGCGCGAGTACCTCGATGTCAAGGTCCGTCTCTGGGCGCTTCCAAGCCCATGAACAGAGTAAATGTAAGGAAGTGTACTCGGTAAGAAGTCTGTATCGAAGAGAAATGTGAAGGTATTAGGATTATTAGGCGAGATTGGATATCAGTGGTATCAAGGATCAAGATGTCATCTTTCACCATGCAGCAATGGCGCTCGCTCGCTATCACCAGCAACGCCGCTCCCATCGGCATCAGCAAGCTGCTGGTCTCTCTGCTTCTTTCTATCTCTCAGAACGAAAGACAAACCCATAGCGAGTAGGAAACCCTGGAGGATGCCCGTAAAGATGAACAAGCCCCAAGCACTCCAGCCTCCAGGTCCTAGCCTCGCATATAGACTTGCGGCAAAGACGAAGCTCCCCGGTGTCTGAATGCACATCATAGGGATGGATAGACTTCCGGTTTCCTGTAGTCTCCAAGTCATGAGGATCTGTGGTATGTATTGTATAGCGGCAAGGACGGTAGCAAGCAAGCCGAGGAAGTTTGCCCATCCGCGAACGTGTGAAGGGAGCGCGTATACGAAAACGACGGAGCCGATGAATGCGACGACGAAGAACGCGAGTGAAACACCTAGGACGAGGACGGCCTCTTTCCATGTGGGCATGTCGGTGTCTTGTTCTTCTTCTACAGTTGGTGAGTTGCCTCGAGGGAAGAAGATGAGGAAGAGTAGCATGCTGTCAGTTGTTAGTGTCTAATATGCTGGACGGTTGAGAGTGCCGTACATGAAGAAGAAACAACTCCACTGCACCCCGATCTGTACTATGCCGAGCATAGCTGCTGCGCATGGAAAGCTTCCAATCTCCTTACAGCATCCCATGTCCCTCGTGCTTTCCGGTAGGGTCAAGATGTTCGCGATGCTAGCGGTTCCCGACACAGTCCCTAGGAGGACAAACATGGGGCTCAGACCACGCGATGACCGACGCGATATGATCTTATAATGTTGTGGAAGGTAGGATACGAGTATTCCGAGGACTATGAAGCTACGCGACGGTGATTAGCTGTGTTGACATGCGACGAACAGGGCAGGCTTACACGGAGACGCCAAAGTTAACCAGGTCGGTATACGCGAGTTCGGTACATCTTGGGTCGTCTGAATACATCGTGGCGGAGTAGATTGTTGTATACGAGAGCGTCTTGCTGCTACATTTGCTATGACTGAAGCGCAGTGGTGTCAGTTGCCGCCTGGGGAGCATGTGACGTAGGAAGGAGCTCACGCGTCGAGCGGACGCGGAGGTGACGGCTAGCCCCGAGCGCTCCTGCCTCGGCTGCGCGTACCTGCCGCATCAACTATCGCGAAGCCGACGATGCCACAACACTCATCAACCCCAACCCCATGATCATCCGATCTCCCAGTCCCTCTCACAGGCCGACATGGAGTTCCTCCCCGCCCTCCAGCATGGCATAGACGACCTCAAGCCCTCGCTCTTCGAACTCCTGTCCGAGCAACAGCTCGCATCGCTCCTGCCCCCGTCGCTGCGCTACCTCCTCGCCATCACAACACCCCGATATCCACGCTACCTGCTCCCCATACTCAATTCCTTCGATGAAGTCTACGCGCTGCTTATGCTGCTCGTGGAGCGCCACTTCCTTCGCACATACGGCGGATCATTCACCGAGAACTTCTACGGGCTGAAGCGCGCCCGGGTGCTGAAAGTGCGAGGAGGCGAGATACCGCGCGCACAATTGGGCGCATCGGACAGTGTACGAGAGGCTGTCAAGCTGGGCAATGGCGACATATGGAAGAACCTCGCCGTCCTGGTCGGCCTCCCATGGCTGAAGAGGAAGTTCGACGAGGGCTACGATGTCCACGCTGCGCATGCCAACCTTTTGGGACCCGGGTACAACCGTGACAGAGAAGGATTAAGAGCAGGGGCCAGCGTGAAGGAGAGGCTGATGCACTACTACAAGTGGTTTCTTCGCAACATATACCCGAGTGTCAATGCCGCCTACTACTTCTCCTTGCTGGCCTTCAACATGGCCTACCTCTTTGATGGGACCAAGTATCATTCGCCATTCATGTGGGTCATCGGCTCGCGTATCCGAAGACTGGGAGAGGCCGATCACAGGGCGATTGAGATTGCGACGGCGCCGAGGAAGGTTGGCCCGGCGCGGCCTGGAGAAGGCGGATCTATCTTCTCGCCAAGAAACATTGCGAGGAGCATAGAGCCGCGCTTGTTGAGTTCGCTGAAGATTCTTCTTCCAACCAGTATCTTCGCGCTCAAGTTCCTAGAATGGTGGCATGCTTCAGACTTCGCCCGACAGCTATCGAGGAAAGCCGCTGAGAACATCGACCTACCACCGCCAATATTGCCTTCGTTACCGCCATCCGCGAAGCAGCAACCTTCGAAACAGGGAGGGTCTTCCGAGAAGGCACGGCCGACATCGTCTTTGTCGGACCAACCTCAACGCATCGACCCTCCAATATCCTCAACCACCCTCATCCCAATCCTCACTGTACCCTTACCACCATCATCAACGTTATGTCCCATCTGCGTAACACCCATCGTAACACCCACAGCCTCACCTACGGGATATGTCTATTGCTATACTTGCATACACAGGTGGGTTGGGGGTGATCACGACCGCCAGGTCGCCTTCATGGAGGGTGCTGCAGGGTTTCGAACGGGTGATGATGGAGAAGCAGAAGATGAGGGCTGGGGTAGGGAAGAGGGAAGCAGAGAGGGAAGATGGGAAAGTGGTAAAGGAAGAGATGCTATTACCGGAAGGAGGATACTTGGTGGCACTGAAGGTTTGCGAAGAGTCGTTGTTTAGAGTTATTTTTGCTGCACATCATACCCCTTCCCATTGATTCCACAAGACTAGTAATGACTTGTCACTACTTCTAATTTACTCCGGACCTTTGTTGTCGTCGTGTTCGGAAAAAAACCTCTTTACATATGGTGCCTTGCGTTTGACGCTGAATCATTAAGAATATTCGGTGACGTGATCGGGGTCCGGCGTAGTACGAGCCGATGAGGCATTCTACCTTTGGCTGACTGTGCGCACGCGCGCTAGGTCACGAAAATCAGCCTCAGCCGACGATATCCTGCAAAGATCAGCCGGCCTTCAACCTGCCGCAACCGCCGAATAGTCATAATCGTGCAGGTTAGAGTCACGACGTGCGCCCTTTACTGCCGCTTGTCATGTATCTAAGCCAGGGCGGAAGCTAACACTATTTTCGCTTGCAGCTGCCGCATTAGACCATGCATGCGAATTCTATCAGCCAATGCAATAGTCATATCCGAGGGCATATCAGTCATTCCCCACTCTTTGACTTTCTGGTAGTCCTACCCTCTATATTTCTGCGTTCTTCTTTCACCAACATATTTATGAATGGGTGGCGCATCTGATCTTCAATTCGCGCTTCAAACCCTTCAGCAATGGCCCCACCAACAATACCAGCAGAACATTCTGTCAATGATTTCGCAAACGATGTCGCATCTCAAATGGAGGGCTTCACTCAGTCACAGGGTATAGCAGAAGAGGCTATTGCACGAGATCGTGAGGAAGACGAGTCTGCATCTGAAGATGACGATCAGTCTTCCTCGGGTTCGGATACAATCCGGCAGCAATATTCCATGATAAATTCTTATCGCCGGCCTTCCTGGGTCAACCCAGGATCACGATCCACCGCCATAATATCGTCCAGCGTACCCGAAAGGAGTCATCTACCAACGTCATGGAAGAAACACAGTCATCTGTCGAAGAAAGAGAGGGAGACCGTGCGAGACGAAGAGCGGAGTCTGCTCCGCGACAACCATCTGATCCCGCCCAAGCACCCAAGAGCTGGAAGCGAGGGACCCTTTGATCGAGTGCGATCTAGAATGTCAATTTCAGGACTGCGAAAAGTCAAGAGCACGCCAGACGAGGAAAGCGCAGTCGAATCACCCTCCGAGCGAACAGCGCTATTGGGGGCATCTGAAGGTGATCCAAACCAACCATACGGGGGTTTGGACTCACCCAAGACAATCAACAAAAAATGGAACGAGGCGGTTGCAGCAGGGAAGATCAACACGAGCTGGCAGCGAGAGGCTAAAGTCTTAACGAAGAGTTCCGCACCGCTCATCTTGACATTCCTACTACAGTATAGCTTGCCGGTAGCAAGTATCTTCACCGTCGGACACATTGGCAAAACCGAACTAGGAGCTGTGAGTCTGGCGAGTATGACGGCGTCGATAACGGGCTATGCAGTATACCAGGGTCTAGCAACTTCGCTCGATACTTTATGTGCACAAGCATACGGCTCGGGACGTCCCCATCTCGTTGGTTTACAACTGCAACGCATGTTGTACTTTCTTCTCTTGATCACCATTCCGATATCGCTCATATGGGCTTTCGGAACACAGATCCTCTCGCTCATCGTTCCAGAAAAGGAAACGGCACGCTTAGCCGGACTGTACTTGAAGGTTCTCATCTTCGGAGCGCCCGGCTATGCGGCCTTCGAAAGCGGAAAACGCTATGTACAGGCGCAAGGTATCTTCAGCGCGACTATGTACATTCTCCTCATTTGCGCGCCACTAAACGCTTTCCTCAACTGGTTCATGGTGTGGCATCTTGGCTGGGGATTCATTGGCGCACCCATTGCTGTTTCCATAACAGAGAACATCCTTCCTCTGTTATTGTTTCTCTACGTCAGATTCATCGACGGATACCAATGTTGGGGTGGTTTCGATCGACGAGCGCTCAGGAACTGGATGCCGATGGTGAAACTTGCGCTTCCCGGCTTGATCATGGTGCTTGCCGAGTTTCTGGCTTTTGAGATCTTGACGTTGAGCTCATCGTGGCTTGGCCCAACTGAACTTGCGGCGCAGTCTGTGCTGGGCTCGATTACCGGCATCACCTTCCAAATACCATTTCCCATGAGCGTGGCAGCGTCCACGCGCATCGCTAACCTCATTGGCGCTACTCTGGCAGTTCCAGCGAAGACAGCAGCTAAGGTGGCCGTCTTTGCCTCGGTCCTTGTCGGCATCTTCAACCTACTACTCCTTTCGCTTCTTCGTGAGGCCATTCCCCGTCTCTTCACACCTGACGAAGAAGTCATAGACATGGTAGCAAAGCTCTTACCGCTATGCGCGACTTTCCAGGTCTTTGATGCGTTGGCCGCCAACTGTAACGGTATCTTGCGTGGCTTGGGCAGACAGGAGATCGGTGGCTATGTTGGATTGTTCGCCTACTATATCGTTGGTATTCCGATCAGCTTCGGCACCGGGTTTGGATCCCCACATTGGGGTCTGTATGGGCTTTGGAGTGTAAGTCTCGCTGCTGACACCCAATCTAACATCTGTTAACATGTCACAGGGACCTGCGATTGCTCTTGGCATAGTCGCTGCCATCGAAGGTGTATTCATATGGCGAACAAGCTGGGATAAAGCAGTTGAAGATGCAAAGGTGCGGAATGCCGCAAATTAGGAATGGCTATATACGATGAAAAGTGTACCGCTGCATAACCCTAGTGTTCAATGATGAACGAAAACGAGAAATTGCATTGATGTCATGTGTCTTCATGGCGTGTCTAGTGCTGGGTTACAGGCTTCTAAGTAATACATGGGGTGAAATGAATGATGGTATGCTTGGAGATTTCTATTGCGAATACGAGTGAGTGACTGGATCTTGTCTCCTTGCAATAATGGTGTAAACTTCGGTAATGACTGCTGTCTACCTTTCGCTTCCTACAGTATGCCTGAAATGTCCCGTTTCTTTATTGTCTCCGCACTCAGTCAAGAAGCTTCTGGGCCCAGGGTGCACTCTCATACCAAGCGCGAATCTTCTTGCCGAAGACATAGAGTGGAAGTGCAGCTCCGGTAACAATAGCAGCGGCCGACGCCAATGTTCCGAATACGGCCATGGGTCCAGCAGTATCAAGCCAGCCAATCATCGGAGTGATGCCAACGGTGACAGCACCGGCGGAGATCATATTGATGGAGGAGAAAGCTTGAGCAGAATGCTCGGGGTGACAGTCGATGACGTAGGCGATGGCAATCTGCACACCAGCGACACTACCCACGTTGGTGACTGTCATCCAGACGAGAATCCAGACTAGGGGCAGGCTGTTCTGGAAAGAAGCACCCAGACCAATCAAGCCGACCATGGTGATTGGCGT